TTGAACTTATTTTGGAAATGTACATCCAGGGTTTTTAATTTTTTGGGGGGGGGACCCCAAGAGAGTGGGGCCCTAAGCTATAGCTTGTTTTGATTAACAGGAGCAGTGGTCGGGGATGATGGGAATTGTAGTCCCAAAACAGTTGGAGGTCCAAGTTTGGCCATCACTGGCTTATACGTAAATCCGGCACTGGAACGGAGGCAGAAAGGTAGCCAGCTGTCCTACTTTACATAGGACAGCCTTCTATTGAAAGGTCATCAGAGTACAGTTCTGTACAGGGAGCCCTGTATTTGAAGGCCCATGTTCAGTTTAATAACAAAGAACCATAAGAGGGATGACCAGCAGGAGCTGGGAGTTGCCCCCTAACAGACAGCACAGAAGGCTGGAAGGCACACAGGTCTTCCCCAGAAGAGAAAAAATATATACTGTGCTTTCTCTTTATATTATAGCAATTACTTCTAAATATGCACCTATGCTTATTTACACATGCAAATTGGTGTTCTCTTTTGTCCTTTTTTTTTTTAAGAGTTGCATTTCCTCTTTTTGGACAGTGTGCAGGTAGCCACAAGGCTGAACTCATATATACCAACTGGTTTTGTAGCTAACCCTTTCCCAACAGCACACAGTACATTACATTAAAGCCACAAGAGTTTGGACATTTCTCCAACTGAAAATGGTGTGCCAGGAGATCATGTTATATTTAGCTCAGCGGCAGAGCTAGGCTCCATTTTTTATGCTGAATGGCTAGTGGCCTCTGAACTCCTCTTCATTTCAAGCAGGAAAGAGAGAGAGAGCATCTGATTAATCCACAACAGTAGTTTAATTGTTCATTTGACCACTTCCATCTGGATGTGACCCTAGAGGCTATCTACAGAAATCAACTTAGCCAAGAGCTATAAATTATGTCATGTAAAATCAGAGCCAAATTTGCCGTAGTGGTTGAGAGCTCTGAATCTTAAGTTAAGGTTCTGTAACTTTCTCTGCAACGCATGTATGCATGTATGTTTTGATAATTCGTTTGTTAAGATTTATGCTATAAAAAGCCAAGCCCAGTCCTGGGGGCTTAGGATAGATGATATACTTCTATCAATCATGCAAGCAAGCAAGCAAATTTTCACATCACTTGTGATCAGCAACTGGCATCAAGGACGCAACTGACCCTCATGCAATGGAAGACAAAACTTGTGCACCTTTAGTGGTTATACAGAAGAGGAAATTTCAACAGATGCAGCCTCTGTTGCCCAGCACATTCCAAATCACTATCTAGTGGTACACTCAGAGCAGGACAGGGCTTGTTCTGTACCTGAGGAATGAATAGCAGTAGGGCTGGTTTACCACATTTTGAAGTAACTAATACACATTCGCATCTAAAGACAGGGGTCCTCATAAGACCATTCAGTCCGGTTGGGACAGAGCTACAAGATCATTCCACCCAGAATCAAAAACTACCCTAATGGTACCACTGATCACATATGTTTGAACATCTTTAAGTATCTATTTCTCCAGCCAACATGCTAGTTCTGCACACTGCATGCATATTATTATGAAATATTAATTGGGCCCATGTACAAGGCAGAAACCACTTTCCTTTTTTAAAAAAAAGAAGGATGTCACTGTTAAGCAGTGCTATATTGTTAAGTTAGTATATTGTTAAGTCACTAAGTCAACTGTATTAAAAATAACCCACAATTGTATAAATATTGTTGAATGTAAGTTTGAATGATGTTAATGATGAAAAACTGAAAATAAAATTTTAAAAAAGAAAAAAGAAAATATAGTTATTATGAGGCATTAAAAAGTAGGAAATGTTCTTTGCAATCTTGTCTTTTTCATAATTTAATTTTAAATATATCAAAAGGAAACTTGGGGGGGGCTATCTGAATCTTGCCCCTGCTCTCAAACCACATCTAAAATCTGCAAGGTAAGTTGTCTATGGTTTACATACGCATAGCGCTAAAGGACTGGAATATGAAGGATTCCCTTTGGTAAGTCTTTTGAGTAGAGAGGATTGCAAAGGACAAAATTTAAACCTGTGTTTAAGTTTAATATACCTTTTGCTGAATAGATAACCAAGGTTATAAAACTGGTGAACAAGTTTTTATTTTCAGCATTAAAAGGTTTATAATGGACTTTGGCTAGCTAGCCAGACTTCTATTTAGGATGGATAAACTTTTTTTTTTACCATTAAAGGATTGCAAGGTCCATATAAAAGCACTCAACAGTTACAATGAATACTATTTATTCAATAAAATCTAAGTCTTAGCAACATTTAGATACAAATACTCTAAAGAAATGTTCCCTTTTGTCAGCAAATAAAGCACCTACTGTTTTAAACATCTCACATTTTGCTGCTAATTGTCTTTCCGCAACAAGGGAACTATATACAAGATGCAGTATTAAAAATACTATTGGTTCAAAGGCAATAAAACTTTTAGAAAGTTCCAACGTCAAGTTTAAGTTGCAACATAAAAAAAAAACAAATAAAAGCAAAGCACATTTCAAACTTCACTTCATGACATTCCAAAACATAGAGAATGTTAGACTGAAACCAGTTGTGAAATAGTTCATAAAAAGGATTTCCAACAAGAAGCTAAGAAGAAAACCTATTGACCAGGCAAGAGCAGAAATCTAGACTCCTAGCATATGTATCAGATTGCTTGGCCTAATACAAATAACTTATAGAGCTTTCCAACCACATCTCTGTTCCCTTCCATGCCTGAAGAGGGCTTTGGGACCAGAGCATATATACAGTCTGGATAACTCACTAGGCTAGACCCCAAGCTTAAGCCATTGAAGTCCTAGATCTACTGATAAACAAAACCTACAAAATTTTGGATTAACATTCAAATTGTAACTTTATTAGTTTTAACATGACAGGGGTTGGTTTTGTTTAATGGATTAATACTGTAGTAGCCTTTTGGGGGGGAGTGGGGGACAATAGCAATTGATGTCAGTTATATCAACCCTTGGGACGCGGGTGGCGCTGTGGGTAAAAGCCTCAGCGCCTAGGGCTTGCCGATCGAAAAGGTCGGCGGTTCAAATCCCCGCGGCGGGGTGCGCTCCCGTTGCTCGGTCCTAGCGCCTGCCAACCTAGCAGTTTGAAAGCACCCCTGGGTGCAAGTAGATAAATAGGGACCGCTTACTAGCGGGAAGGTAAATGGCGTTTCCGTGTGCGGCTCTGGCTCGCCAGATGCAGCTTTGTCACGCTGGCCACGTGACCTGGAAGTGTCTCCGGACAGCGCTGGGCCCCGGCCTCTTGAGTGAGATGGGTGCACAACCCTAGAGTCTGTCAAGACTGGCCCGTACGGGCAGGGGTACCTTTACCTTTTTTATATCAAGCCTTAAGTGTTGCTGGGTTGCACTTAGTTTATACACTGGTATCGCTCAACCCACAGCTTTTGATCTTCAAAAGTCAAAGTATGAGAATGAGAGCCTCTTCCTGTACTGTATAGTCTCCTTGTTCCTTAAAAGAGCTTGACTGGGGTCCTGCTTGGGTTATGCCTGAAGTCTGACAAGAGGCTATCACTAGCCTTCTCTGTACGAGCTGTAGAGCTCTTTCATTGTGGAGTTCCCTACCAAGTCTGGTTGACTCCCATTTGCCCTCCATGAAATGCAAAGCAGTCTCTTCTGTTCAGGAACAGAACACCATCATGTTGCAATTTCTGTCCATCACTGCCGGAGGTTGCCCAGGAACTGGGCCTGATAAAAATCCCTCCCTCCCAGAAGGCTCACATTCTAAGAACCAGGCATGTGTCCCCCTCCACATAAGAGACAATTTATGATGCTGCAATGCATCAGCTTGGCCCAGCCATTCTGCAGAAACAAGCCCCACTGAAACACTGGGTCTTACTTCCATTTAACTGTATTTGACTGTCATGACGCATTGAAGTCTGTACCATGGCATGGTAAACAAACCCCTTTAGTGATCTCTTTGTGAACTACCTTTGCTGGAACCATCATACTGATTCTTTACCGATATGTTAACACATTTTCTTCTTTTTTTAATGTGACCTATAATCAGTGCTTTTTTCCCCGGAAAGGGGGGGGGAGTGCTAGCGCTCACCAACAAGCAGGGGGAGGAACCAGCAAATGGGGGAGGGGTGTGGCCTGACACCAAGGCTGGGAGGTAAGGGCGGGTTAGCTGATTGATGCTCCCTTGCCCACCCACTCACCTACTGGGGTGCTGCCGCCCAGGTGAAGAGGCTTTCCCCGCCTGGCTTTGCGAAGGAGGCGGCAGGGCTCTGGGGTTCTGTCAGAGAATATCACCTCCTTCCTTAAGCTGGGCAAATGCTTCCCAGTCTTGGAGAAGGAGGTGCAATGCTCTGACAGGGTCCAAGAGCCCTCCCTCCTCCTTCCCCCCCCCAAAGGTGGCGGTATTGCGTACTGATGCGTACCCCCAGAGAAAAAGCACTGCCTATAATATGATCCATACTTGCACTAAAACTTTTACCTTCAAATAATAATAATAATAATAATAATAAATTTTTATTTATACCCCGTCCTTCCCAGTTCAGAAAACCGGGCTCAGAGCGGCTAACAACTAATTTAAAACACTTAATTGATGCAACAAAAAAATAGCATAAAATACAGTATAAAACATGAATAACAACAAATTCAGAATTCAAAAATCAATTTAGGGGGGGAATCCATCCAATAAACATTGATCACCAGGGCTAGCTGGATAAATTAGTCCTATTTGGGCCAGCGAGGAGACCAGGGGAGAATGAGCTGTGGGATCCCAGAGCATGTAATCTTCATAAAAAGGGGAGGGGGGAAGGAAGGGGAATAAAAGATCAGGCTAAGTTCAAGTTGAAAGCCAGGTGGAATAGCTCTGTCTTACAGGCCCTGCGGAAGGAAGTTAAATCCTGCAGGGCCCTGGTCTCATGGGACAGAGCATTCCACCAGGTCAGAGCCATCACTGAGAGGGCCCTGTTTTAAAATACCCCCCCCCAAAAAAACCCCACCCAATACATGATGAGAAGCATTCCAAGTATTGATACCTGGTATTGTCTGTGCCATTGGCTCTGTGGTGATGGCGGGAGCTGTGCTTGGGTGCTGCTGACTGGAGCTAACTTCTGGCTCTGTGCTAGCAGAAGGAGACAATGCTACATCGCTGGGAACCTGATTTGACACAGGCTGGAGGGCATCTTCTGAGGCTGCTTGCTCCTCTTGCCCAGGGAGTTGCAAGGCCGATAAAGGAATGCTTAACGACTTGCCAGCATTGGAAGTGCTGGCAGGCATCTGCAGGGCTGCCTGAGGGGTGGCGGCCAGGCTGCTACCAGGCCCTTTACTTGGAGAAGCCAAAGTTACTTTGGGAGGCTTCTGGGAGGAGGCAGAGATGTTCTGCAAATCATATTCAGCAATGAGTGATGGTGGCGAATGAGGGGTGGATTTAGATGGCACAGGGTAGGAGGCTGCTGGGTGAGCTTTGGGTTTCGACATCTGTGTCAAGGACAACGCAGGGCCGTCGATGCCGCCAGTGATCTCTGCGTTAGCCACAATGTAATAATCCTCGGGAAGTTCTTGCTTGATTTTTTTGACGGACACATTGCTGCTGTTCTCATCGACGACCTGAGAATGGGAGCCTGGATGGAACGAGGAGGTGGCGCCTGGGGCTGGCCTTTTGCGGGAATTGGTCTGGGATCTTTGAGGGCGAGGTTCAAAGTCGCTATCTTCATCTGTCACCGAGGACTCACAGACCATGTCAAAAAGAGTAGCTTCATCTTCATATTCCTCCACGGTTTCGTCTAACTCTGAGGGCTCACTGCAGTAAGAGAAATCACAGGAGTCTCTGGTTCTGTTGCAGTCCAACTTTGCTTTCCCTGGCCTCCCAGAGTAGCGTTCCACTGGGCTGGCTTGTGTGTCCGAGGGCATGCCCATGAGGCTGGGGCTGTCCGAGTTGAAGCTCCTGTTGTCCTGGAAACATACTCTTTCCTGCGAGCCTGCTCTACAGGTTGCCGTCAGAGGCCAGTGATAGGCATGGCCTGCGCTGCAGCCCCACATAGCTGTCAGGTTGCCATGTGAGCCCTCTGAAAGAAGGTGCTTCAGATTTGGAATGAGGGTGCATATGGTCCCGTGGCTGTGGGCCCAGCTGACCAGCTTGGAAAGGTTTTCGGAAGAAGTGTGAAGGCAGTCCTCCATGGTGCAAGGCTCAACAGCTCTGTTCCTAGAGGAGACACAAGAAAACTTTACACTGGAACCAAACTTTGCGGTTGAATTTGACTTCACATTTTACGTGTGTGTGTGTGTGTGTGTGTGTGTGTGTGATTTATGTTTTCCTCGCACAAAAGAACCATGTAAAATAGTAAACACAGTAATCAACAAGTTTTAAAAGGTATTTCTCAGCATAGCCATTTACATCTGCGGAGGTTCAGTTTTAGTTGGTTAAGCATTTGGATGTAGCAAAGATATTAAGGACCCAATCCATATGTTGTTGTCTTGCTCAAGGCTGCAGTCCTATGCAAATTCACTTGAAATCATTGTGGCTTGCTTCTGAGTAAGCATGTTTGGACTCGGGCTGCAATTCATGCTGTGATCAAATGGGCTTAACAAGCATCTAACTATGGGCATGACCCTATCAAAGTGAAACAATTTTAGATCACAAATTAGGCAATATATTAGCTCCATGTTTGTTCCCTTAAGTGCAGAAATTGATAGGGATCAGGACTCTAGTATGAGGGGTAGGGACTTGAAACCTCTGTCACTCCCTATAGCAGGGCTGCCATATGGCTGGGTTTTCCCAGACATATCCAGGATAGCATCCAGGTGGAATTTCTGAAAATCACTCAAGTGTTTGGGGAAACCCGGACACATGGCAACCCACATTCCTTTAAAATAGCTCAGAAACTTCAAATTTCTTTTGAAGTTCAACAACTTTTGTGTCCGGATTTTCACTTTTTGGAATCTGGCAAAATTTTCAATTCAGATTGAAATGCTTGCAGTTTGCAAGTTGGGTGGCGGGCAGAACCCCAATCTGCTTTAAGGATTAACCCCCTCTCATGCTATGCTCCATGTGGAACAAGGCAATCCCACAAGTAAAACTGGATAGTGGTTATGGCAATGCATTCTATGGGGGGCTTCCCTTGCACAGTTTCCTTGATGGGTGTAAGGAGGTTGCAGTATGGGACATAGCTGACACAGACCAATAACCCAGGGCCCTAACACTGCGGTCATCAAAGGGGCCAGTTTAGTGCCCGACACAGAGATGTCCTCAAGTAGCACTCCAGCTGTGGTAGTCACCATGAAGGCTTAAATGCTGCCTTTGACCTGGCACCCTCCTTTGGCCCTCCTGGATTTTCTTTCTGTTCTCCTCAGAAATGGTGGGCAGGAACATTTGGCTGCTCCCCATCCTGTTTGACTTTGTCACCTAGCCATGGAACAAAGAAAGCTTTGAGCTGTCTTCACCCTTGGCCTCCTACTTGCATCTGCCATAGGCACACATCGCAATCTCATAAGAGTTCCCTGGCTCCTCAAGAGGCTTGCTGGACTTCTTAAGGAAGAGTTGCATTTCTGCCACCATGGAAATGGGGGCTCCCCATCCCTCACTTGTGACCTTGAAGGATTCCACAGCTCCTTCAAGAGGCTATGCCCTGCCATTTCTCCTGATGCATGAGAAGGTGGGAGGATGGGATGACCAGGGAAGTGGAGTATGGATTGGCTCCACAGAGGATGTACAGGCACAGTCCTGGAACAACATTCCTAGATCTCTGCCACTTAAGTGAATTGCTGCTTTTCATTCCTATTGGGATAAATGTTGCACCTGGGGATAATGTTGCAGTAGAGGTTGCAGGTGACCCTTGAAGGACTGAAGGGAACAGAGTACTCAAAATGACAACCTCTTATATGGAGAGTGGCTTGTAGAAGGACTATCCAATGAAGATCTCACTTTCACTGTCGGGGACACCATGGACAGATACAATACACAGACACACACACACACACACACACACCCTCTGCACACCTTATCTATCATAATGAAAACACACTTTGAGAGAACATCATTTTGGGGCCAACTCACATTGTGCTTAGTACAAATAAAATAACATTGCAGTCCCAAAATATTTTCCTTTGAAGCTTCTCAGCTGCATTTTACATAGAGTTCTTTGCTCTTGTGAGAATTAATTACTGTTCCGTTTCAGTTTTATTGCCTCACACAGTGCAGCAACTGTTTGAAAATTCGTGCTGCCTCTATTTATATACAACACAACCATAACTGTAGGTTAATTTGGGGGGGGGAATAAGTTGCTTTGACGGTGTAATGGCGTTAACAGAAGAGGATTTTAATACTGGTGTTTTGCTTGTTTTTGTTTTTAAATCAGGAGAGACTGCTGTAGCAATGCAGTATCACCAGCAGGTGATCAAATAAACAGTGAACCATTTTTATTAATATATTTTGTTCTTTCCAGTTTACAGCATTTTAATGAAGGATTTCATTTTCCATTTGCTTAAGCCATAGCACAGCACCGCATTCCTTCTAGTCATCTACTACCATTCTGCTACCATTGGCAAGTCTTCTTGGGAAAAGGTTGCTTTGCCAAGTATAGCATGGCAAGACTTCAGCTACAACTGCCTGCTCAACAGGTGCTGAACAGACTGCAAACAGATTGACTGGTAAAGTGCATTCTGCCATCTGAAGAACACTGAAAAAAGCCCTGAGAATACACACAGTGAGCAATTACCTTTTGCAAACTGTTTTGGGATAGTGTGTGGGGTTGAGATGAAGGCTGAAATCCTGTGCACACTTCCAAGGGAGTCAGAACCATTGAATCCAGCAGGGCTTTGCATCTGAATATATACCAGTTTAAGGTAGAACTGCACATGTATCACCCAACACTACTACCCTTTCAATCCCTAGCAGAAAGGCTGGTTTTAATTTTTTTATATACAGATCAAAGTTACATTGCACCTCAAAGAACTAATTAAGGGTTCATGATTGAACTAAAACAACAGGAAATGTTTTGAGCCTGCCTTTGTGCAGAAAGATAAAAAAAGCCTGTTCTGCTTCCACTACCAAAAAAAAACAGTATTCAGTTGATAGTGGCATCAGATGTCTGCTGAACATTTACATCAGATACAATAAATAATACACACCTAATGAAAAATAAAATCCATTTTATTCTGTGACTGATTTCTTGAGATTGCACAACACTCATTACTACTGTGTTGCAAACCGAATACAGCTCATCTGACCAAACTCATAGCTGGAGAGTGAATTAAACGTCCTTACCAGTAATGCTATTATATGTGGTGCATGTTTATCTGGTGCTGCCTCTTCAGTTTCCCTCTCCGAAATGTCTGGAAGATGTAAAAGCAACAGAGTGTACTATTCCACCCACCCTCAAATACTTTCCAGTAAATAATTGTAATGAATGAATGACGTGGAAACGATACGGTTGTTTTTCCTTTGCCAACCTCCTGAAAACCCTGTCCGAAGACAAAAAGAAACTGTTTCTCTACTAAATACATATTATAACTTGATTTCCGCTGCTCTGATGCTGTATGAAACTCTGTACGTTACAATTATGTGTGTGGAGAAAATGATATTGGTGAATTAGCTTTCAGAATTTACTATGCACTTTCACAGCTTGAGCAGGCAATTAAGGACAAAGCAGAACAACATTTGAATAAAGTCACATGCTAAAGCAATGCCAAACCCAGCATCTGTAACTGAAACTTGAGTGTTGCATTGAGTTAATTCAGTATGAAAGTGTAACTTGACCTGATAATACAATGTCTTATATTCTACATTATACCAGATACAGTCGTACCTTGGAAGTTGAACGGAATCCGTTCCGGAAGTCTGTTAGACTTCCAAAACGTTTAGAAACCAAGGCGTGGCTTCCAATTGGCTGCAGGATGCTCCTGCAGCCAATCAGAAGCTGCGTCGGATGTTCAGGTTCCAAAGAACGTTTGCAAACCAGAACACTCACTTCTGGGTTTGCGGTGTTCGGGAGCCAAAATGTTCAACTCGCAAGGTGTTTGACTTCCAAGGTACAACTGTATACTATAAGAAAATCCCTTCTGGATCAGACCAAACAATGATCTAGTCTCAATATCCTATGTACCATAGGGAAGAAAGAACTAAGTCTTCCAGCGTACTTTCCTACTCAAACTCTTCCTTACAACTTGTCAGGATACTGAGAACTGCTGTCATACTGCCCAGGTTAGTGTTACACTACATGAGCTTGAACTTCCACTAAGAGCAAATTCAGCTGGTGACTACCAGTAGAATTGTAGCCAAAAAGGGGCCGCTGAGAAACAAGAAGATACCATCATGCTTGAATTAAGCCTATGGTTTGTAAAAGTACAAAAAAATGGTGGTTTGTTTCACTCAAAACAAACCACAAAGTGAAGCCAAAGATTGTTCCTGGGTTTCCAAGCATGCTATGGCTCACTTAAATGTGCAATGATGCCTGGTTCGGATCCAACCCAGGGACCACAGTTTGTCACTCCTGCTCACAATAGGTGAAGGAATAAAGTGGGAGCAATCTTCACATTCACAGTAAAGCATTAACTATGGTTTAAAACGATGTGCAAACTGGGTCATAAATTTAGTATGCTTTCATCTCACTTTTACTTGCGACATTTCAGTTTTGCAGCATGGCAATATCACTGATAAAAAAATACTTTCTGTCTGTCCAAATTCAGCTGAAACAACATAAACAGAACAATTCTGTTAGTAGCTGAGAGAACAGGTGGCAACAGAATTTGAGATATGTGGGTTTTTTAAACCCAATAGTTTTACCTTTATGGGGTCAACTAGCCAGTACAATACTGGTTACTTGTCTAAGCAGTGAAGTCCAAAAGGGTTTAGTTCCCTTTGAACTGCAAAGGATAACCTTATTTTGATTCATGTATTGCTTCAAGAAGTAGGTGGCTTCTCATTAAAATGCAGACAAAATTGGATTTCTCCCTACTCCCTAATTGCACTTATGCATTTTCGCATTCGTAATTTTTAGGGGAACACCTACACTGAGCAATTGGTATAGAAACAAAATATTGATTTGCCTTTGCACCTGCACCTTGGCTCTACTCCATGAGTAGGCAAACTAAGGCCCAGGGGCTGGTTCCGGCCCAATCGTCTTCTAAATCCAGCCTGCGGATGGTAAGGGAATCAGAGTGTTTTTACATGAGTAGAATGTGTGCTTTTATTTAAAATGCATCACT